ATCCATCCATCCATCCATCCATCCATCCATCCATCCATCCATCCATCCATCTGTCCTTCAAGCCAGCATTCAGTTAACCCATCCAACTTGCTTCTTCTCTGTCCTTCAGGTTAAAGTGCCACAACAAATGTACCAAAGAAGCCCCGCCCTGTCATCTCCTGATCATCCACCGAGGAGGTAAGTATTTAACACTTGTTCCCCCATGGGCTCAAGACTTTTGTATCCCAGGCAACCCTCCCACCCAGCCTGATCCCTAGCTCCTTGCCCACCCACTTTCTTTCCTGCCATGTTCCCTCCCCATCCTGCGCTCCTGTTGTCCCTATTTCTTGCTTTCCCGCCGGTCCTTCTGAGGTTTTAGTGCCTACTGCCCCTGACTCTCTTTGCCCTGGTCTTAATTTTCACTCCCTTTTTTCTTTCCACTCCATTGCTTTTCCTTCACACTCAGAAAAGAGTGCTGGCTAGGATCTTTCCTTTGTGTGGCCCAGGCTCACTCAGCTGGTCTCGCAGAAGGGGCCTTCGGGAGGAGTCTGGTGTAGCAGGCTTTCTTTTGGACCAACCGCCGGCTCCCAAATCATGACACGGAGACTTATTATTAGTTATGAATGCTCATTTCTTGCTAGCTCATATGACTTAATTTAACCTGTTTCTCTTCGTTTATGTTTTGCCTCAGGGCTTTTTACTTTCTTTTCTTCTGTATGTCCTACTCCATGTCTGGCTGGCTGATGGCTGCCTGGCTGGCCTTGGGTGTCTCTTTCTCACTCATTCTCTTCCCCCCTTCTCTCTCTCTCTCTCTCTCTCTCTCTCTCTCCTAGATTTTTCTCTGCCTGCCAGCCCCATCCATCCCTCTACTGCCTAGCTTTTGGCTGTTCCGCTTTTTATTAGATCAATCAGCTGCCTTAGGCAGGCAAAGCAACACATCTTTACCCTGTTAAAGTAATATTCTGCAACAGAAACAAATACAACACATCTTTATGTAGTTTAATATTCAACGATAGTCCGGCTCAGGGCAGAGCCATTTTAGGCCTTTCTGTGTCCTGTGTTTTGGGGTCCTGGGAGGGTCTGGGCCAGCCTGACCAAGCCTTTCGCAGTGCACAGACCGACCCAGCTAGTAGGACAGTGTTGCTCTCTGCCCTGGACTTGGTAGGCGACGATAACTCTTCCTAAAGTCTCACAGCCCAGCTTACAAAATAATTCCCTAATTCCTCGTCCTGTGGATTCATTACTCCCAGCCCTCCGTGACCCATGCCCCAGGTGATCTCTAAAGTCTGTGCTCTTGGATAGGCAGCTGTCAGCCACGTCTGACTATCTAACTTGAAAGTAATGGGAGCGAACTGAAAGCCCACGTGCTATTGCTCAGTCTCACCAGCCAGATCTCAGGGCTCGGGAGCCACACAGAGGGACAGCAATTTCATCCCTGCAGAGACCTCTCCTGATGACGTCGCTCCATCTTGTGAGATCAAAGCCTGCTCCTCAGATGCTGGTCCGTGTAAATGGCCAGATGTTACCGCCTAAAGCGCTCAGGCCGTGAGCTTCCAGCTGCTCTCCTTCTTTTTCTCTGGGGACAGAAAATTAATAAGCATCTATAGTGTGGTTTTTACAATCTCTAATTTATGGTCCCATCCTGGCTCTCCCCTCCTCCTTGTCATGTAAGCTATCCAAGACTAAAATACATGATGTGTACTTCCTTGCCCCCCCCCAAATAAAAATCAGATATTTTTCTTTGTTTAGGAATTTCTCTGAAGGATTATGCTCTGCTCCCCTCCCCAGCCCTGTCGTCCTGCCTGTGGTGGCCATCTAGGTCTCTTTTCTCTTGAGCAGGCTTGCTTCCTTTTCCCTCTCTCTCTCTCTCTCTCTCTCTCTCTCTCTCTCTCTCTCTCTCTCTCTCTCATTCTTGGTCTCTTTAGTTTCTTTTAATTCCTTGAAAATCTCACACAATGTATTTTGAACATATTCACTTTTCCCAACTTCCTCCTTCACCACCCTCTCCATCCTCCCATCCTTCCCCAACCAGGTTTGAGATTTGGGGGGGGCACTGGAGCTTACCCTGACCTGAGGCCAATCTACCAGGAGTCACAATTAAAGAAATGAAGCTTCTCCCAGGGCTTTCAAGGGCTGTCCTTCCCTTTTGGGTCTGATTGTGTTGTCTCTCTTCAATGCTTACTCAAGACTTGATCATGGCTCCCCTGGTTGCAGGCCACCCTCTCCCAGTAAAGCCCTCCCCTACAAGGTAACCCCACACCCGCCATTTCCTTTCCTAAGGCAATGCACCTGCACGCCTCTGTTCTGTGTAACAAAAGTGAGTGTGATAGGGACACTTCCTGCCTCTCCTCTCCGCACCCCACACCTTAATGCCCCTCGCACTGCAGGGCTGTTTTGAAACCTGAGTTCACACAGCTCCTGAGCCCCTGCCTGAGGTCAGCTTCACAGGGGAATTCGCCTCCCACCAAATCCTGCTCCCTCGTGGGGGCTCTGGAGGCTAAGCCCCCAGGAAGGTGAGACCCAGACTGCAGGGAGATGAGCCTCCTTCTGAGCCTGGTATTTCGAGAGGGTCTCCTTCCTCTCACCTGCCTTCAAGGCCATGCTCCCTGGGCTCCAGGGGGCTTGTGCCTTACAAGTAAATCAAAGAGAAACTTCCCTGAAGAAGTCCACTGGCTTCCTGCATCCCCCCCCCTACACCTCCCTGTTGTTGGGAAGTTGAAAATAGAGTCCGTTTCCATGGTAATGGCAGCTCAGGCTAAGCAGAGAAATTAAATCCCTGGGTCAATGCAAACCTTGAATTCCTCAACCCCCCACCCCCACCCCACATAACAACACAACTAACAAGGAAAGGTGGTAGGCAGGCAAATCTGAACTTGAGCCGCTCACTGCCACTGCACACTGTGTTCCCTGTGAGTGACAGAAATAACAAGAGGCAGACTCTTCAGGATGGTGCTCTCTCCCCACCAGGAAGCAGTTAGTTAGCAACTTGCTTGTGTACCCAGCTTTGGTGCTGGGGTAATACCCAGGGGAGAGGCTGAAGGAGCTGAGCTGTCATTGCAGGGATCTGCATTTATTTGGGACACACATGGTCCAATGTGTGACAGTTTTCTTAGTCCCGACAAACTCTATACATAATGAAAGAGAGATATCCTAACAAACGGTTAGAGGCATAGGGACAGGTGTCCATCACGGCTTGTATGCTATTGTAGGTCTCATGGAATCAGGGGTCTCTTGTATCACAGGCGAAGTTCAAGACTGAAGTAAAAGGCAGTGTGCCAAAGTGACAGTGTGGAAAAACAATCAGAAAGATGGCAGCTCCCTATTTCGATTGTCAAAAACCACGCGTAAGGGAATAAATAGCTCAAAAGAGAAGTATTTGAAAAAGCATGTCTCGATGCTGGGGAGATGGCTCAGTTGGTAAACTGACCCCCGCCATGCAAGCATAAAGACCTGAGTTTAGATCCCCAGAAGTCATGTCAAAATGCCAGGATGGCAGGACACTCCTGGGACCCCAGTGCTGGGGGTGACCGCCTAGACAGGCTGATTCCTGAAGCTCTTTGGCCAGCTAGCCTAGGCTAACCTATGAGCTTCAGGGTGAATGGCAGACCCCATCTCAAAAAAGAATGGTAGAACGAGACCAAGGATAGACCTGCTGCCAGCCTCAGGCCACCACAGTCACACCCACGTGACACATCTACACTGCCAAGTGCATGTGTTAGTACACGCGTGCACACATGCACACACACACACGTGCACACACACACACACACCCCGCAGATAATACAAAGAGTGCAAAACCACACCACAGAGGGTCACCCAGAACATTTGTCGTGGTGGTGCAAGGCTGTCATTTCCAGTGTCGCCGGTATGTTCTGAATTGGGATGTGAGCTGGGTCTCCTGACATGATGAAAGTCGATGTGATTCTTAGACTCTCTTTGCTGTTTTTACCCCTACGGACCCAGCAAGGTTAGTGCGCACGGAGTCGGTCCCCTGTGACATCAACAACCCTGTCCGGAAGCCAGCACGATATTCAGATCTACACATAAGCCAGACGCTCCCCAAAACCAACAAAATCAACAAGGTAAGGTGTGGGTTTTACTGGGTGAGCATGGGGGAAGCAGATAGCAGTGACAGGGCCAGATGGTGGCTGGGAAGGAGGAGGGGATTGAGCAGGGGTATGACACTCACACCCTTGGTTCTGGGTGGTTTGTGTGCAGTCACATGTTCAGGGCAGAGGGGAAACATCCCGTAATCAGTTGAAGAGCTACTCAGGACAGAATGCGTAGTTTAGAATTAGGCCTGTGGAGAACGGACGTCTTGAGGGGACAGAGCCCTGGGATGGTGGGAAGCAACCAAAAAGGGTTCCTGTGGTCCTTCAACCCCTGGCTGCTCTGCCTGGGATGTCTTCCCCATCTGCCAGAGTGGCTGTGCACATGGGGTGGGCTTTCTGAACATCTGTTGAACTAAGGGATGGTGATCTTCTGGCAGGGGCTTGGATGGATCGGTAGATGTCATTGGAGGCTCTGAGTAAGAGCGGATGGCCAGCAAGCTGCCATCTGTACCTCTTCCTTTCTGGCGTGAGCGCTCCATGTTGGCTTTGGTCTGTTGATGGTCTATGCTGAAATCGTCCCAGGGACAATTCCAACCCCACAGTACAAGCCAAGTTCTCATATGCCAAGAGGTGGTTTTCTCAGGCCACACAAAGCCCCCGTGTATTATGTCAAAGATGGATAAAGCGTAGAGTCGACTCAGACGTGGGGAGGGCACAGATCTGTGTGCAAATGGCAGATGAGCATCTTGGTGACTGCTGTCCTCCTCCTTGGCAAAGTGCGGCCTTGTTTCACTGCGCTGTCTGTTGAGAAGACTCCCTTCCCCAACCACTCTCCCCCCCAATAGCCAGAGTGGGTCTCAGTGAACCCACATTGGTTTTCTGTTGGTTTCGGGAAGCAAATCTAATTTGGTTTTACTTATATACGTATTTTCTTTTATTTTCGTGAGTGTGTGGATGTGTGGGTGTGTGCATGGTTTTGTGTATTTGTGGGCACGCGTGTGAGGGTGCACGCGTGTGATAAGTGTGCATGTGGAGGTTCGAGGCTGGTGTCAAGAGCTTCCTTGGTGTCTCTTGTACCTTATTCCTGAAGAAGGCCTTCTTAATCAAAAGCAGAGCTTGACAATGGGGCTACTATTGCTAGTCAGTTTGCTCTGGGGATTCCACTGTCTCTGTCCTTTGAGGATGGGGTTCTAGGCGAGCCCCACTGCTAACTCAGCACTTACATGGGTTCCGGGGATCCAGACTCTGGTCCCCTTGCTCGTACAGCAAGCACTGGAACCCCTGAACCTTTCCCCTACTGGTCATAAATTTGAGATCCTCCTGCCTCGGCCTCTTGGGTGCTGGGATTGCAGGTGTGTGCCGTCACATCCAGTTTGTCGCTTTGCTTAGAGCAGTGTCATTTGGCCCCACCCTTTGTGTCTGACCTCCCACGGTTCATCCTGTATGTCTGCCTTCAGGCCAGAAGAGGGCACCAGATCTCATTACAGATGGTTGTGAGCCACCATGTGGTTGCTGGGAATTGAACTCATGACCTCTGGAAGAGCAGCCAGTGCTCTTAACCTCTGAGCCATCTCTCCAGCCCCTGGCTTTCATTTTTTATTGCTAGTTCTTGGGGTCACATTCTGGCTCCTTGTTACACCATTCTAGCATTTGAAAGAGCCCGTGTTCTGCGGTCAGGGCAGACTGGCAGCTGGCCTTGTGGTCTGTGAAAATGTAGACAAGTAACTTAATCTCTCTGGCCCAAAGTTTTCCTCTATATAAAATGGACATGTTTCAGCTGTCTACTGTTTCACAGCAAACCACCCCCAAATTAGCTGTACATAATAACCACACTTGTATTTCACTTGTGGTCTTCAGGCTAGGGGCTAGGAATTAGGACAGAGTTCCATGGGGGAGTGTGACCTTTGCATTAGAATATCCAGAGGCTCCATCAGGGGAAACCTGATGTGGCTAGTCGCATCTAGACTAGGCCATGCTCAGCCCACTTCTTGCTTTTGTGTGATTCAAACCATGCCCGCTCTGTCCATTGCTACCTTTAGGCTAGGTGATAGCAAAGTTGATGAGCCACAAGAAGGCTACGTGGCTGAAAAGCCTGCAATATTTACCGTCAAATGCTCTTATAGTTTTACAGACTTCTTTACCCTCCTACCTGGTGCCTGGGTTGGGAGGAGTCAAAGTCAGTGCCTGACAGAGAAGTCAGGCAGCCTCGGCTTCCCCCGGTAGATCCACTCCATGGCACCTGTGCTCCTTCCATGACGGCTCATGGGACCACGGCAGTGTTGTTCCCACAGTTCTTCACTAAAGGGGCAACTGCACTGTATGCAGGACTTGAAGTTAGGCAAGGGAGATGCCGGTTGCCACTGGGAAGGGGTTTGGGGTCCCTGCTTTATGATGCTCACAGTGCCTGTTAAGAACACCAGCTTTGGAGATCTGTCCCTGAGGCAGCGTCAGTTAATCAGCATTCGAAGATGCTTCATGAGGTTCCTGGTGCCTAGTAGATATCCAGGGAACCGGAAGGAGCATTGTCTTTGATCTCAGAGCTTCGCGCAAAGCGTCAAATCCGGGACCATTTACTCTGGTTGCTTCTGGAAGTCTCAGGGCTGGTCTCAGTGGATAAGAACTTGGCTAGTGCATGCAAGGCTCTGGCTTCCATCTGTGGCACTGCTGAGAGGGGAGAGAGAAAGAGGGAAGGAGCGAGGAGACGCAGGACAGTGTCCTGTTCTTCCAGAAGTGACTGTGCATATCTTAAGACCCATCTTTCCCTGGGTGACATCATCAGGGGCCAGGAGCTCAAAGCCACTCCGAGACCTTTCTGTCTGGCTTAACCGGTGCTGGAGCCTCTTGATGTCAGATGGGACAGAAACATGGGTCAGATGGACGAGCCAGAGTGACATTGTTGTGCATGTCTGCCAGCAGGGACACTCAGGAAGGGGCAGAAATTGGCCTCTACCCAGACAGCAGTTTTGCCACGAAGGTGGACAGGCACTCTCCAGGCTGCGTTATTTTTTGCCTTGCTTCATGCAGAGTCTTGTCCACAGGCAAGATATGGTTCGGGGACAGGTTTCTCAGCCAGTCTGTCCTCCTCTTTGGCCTAGTCCATCCATCTGGGGTCATACAGGCCCTGCCTCCTCACCTGGCAGGTTGGCAGAAGGAGGATTTGGGGAGTCAGAAAGCTTGGGTTTGTAGCACGGCTCCTTAATTTGCCATGCTGCTGTGATCAGGCCGGTTCAAAGTGCATTTGTCTTCCTTTCCCCCTCTGTGAAACGGTCAGCGTGATAGGAGGGGTGGTTGAGAGGATTGGATGTGCTGTATGTAGAAAGGATTTGGTCCAGCACTAAGTGCTCAGGGATGAGAGAGTGGGGAGAAGAAGGAAAGACAGTAAAGCGGGGGAGGACCGGGGAGGAGGAAAGTGAGTGAGAGGAGGGGGAGGAGAAGAGGAAGAGGTGTGGGGAGAAAGGGAGAAACAAAGGAATGGAATGAGAAGAGGAGGAGAGGGATAAGGGAGGAGGAGGGAAAGGTAGAGGGAGAAGAAAAGGGGTAGAAAGATGAGGGGAAAATGGGAGTGAGAAAGGAATAAATGATGAGGAGGAGCTAGAGGGGAGAGAAGATGAAGTGATGGAAGAAAGAGGGAATGGAGGAGACAGAGAGGGGTGGGAGAGATAAACACAGGATATGGAGAGATGGTGGACAAGCAAAATCAATAGCATCTGCCAGCTCCTTCAGGGAACAGCCTCCAGCCCTAGACCCCTACGTCAGGGCATCCAAACGGCCGTCTGTGGTGGCAACAGAGGCTGTGGCTCTTCCAGTTGTGAGCACGGGGTTGGAAGATCCTGCACGCTGCCTGGCTGTAGGTGCAAAGAACAGAGCCCTACCCACCCAGCTCCACAAAGTGAGATGCTGTAAGAATAGCCAAGAGACTAGAAGGCACCAGCAGGTCACTGTCAAGGAGCTCAGCTCTCCGGAAGTAGACCGGGAGGGTGGCCTCAAGTCAGTGGGTCCTCTGACCCCAGTGACACCAGTTCTTTGCTTTTTAAGTTTTATTTTTTTTTAATTGTGTGAGGGTGAGTATGTGCGCATTAAGTGTGGGTACTCAAGGAAGCCAGAAGAGGGTGCTGGATTCCCTGGAGCTGGAGCTACAACTGTTGTGAATCTTATGATGTAGGGGCTACAATCTGGACTGGGGTCCCCTGGAAGAGCGGTGTGCACACTTTACCACATCTCTCTAGCCCTAGACACTGTCTTTGTAAAGATAATATGAAAGGGCAAAGTAGCTAGAATAACCAATTTATATATATAAACCAATTATATATATATATTTATATATATATAACCAATTTATATATATATAAATATAATATATATGAACAAAATGTAAACAATAAATTCTATCCAATTTCAAAACTGAGTAAATAACCACAGAAATCAAAACCAAAAGGACATCCAGAGGGCAAGCAGGCTCAGGAGAAGACACTCACTATGAGCCAACAGCACAAACCACTGTCACATGCCTATCACAATAAGAAATGACAGCACACTAAGTATTGGCTAGGACACAGAGAAAGTTGCTCACTGTGGAGTATGGATACAAAACAGTGCCATCACTCTGGAGAACCGCATATGTGCCCGCAACCTCTTTATGAATATGTATAGTAGCTTTATCCTCCCCCCACACAGAGTAACCGTGACCAGGAAGCAACTTAGGTGTCCCTCACCAGACAATAACGGACTAATTGTGGTAAATCAATGCAGTAGACTATGACTCAGCTCTGCTAAAGCCGACATTTCAGTAAAGCTGCCTTCTCGAGCTCTGAAGGAGGACCCATGCCTCTCCCAGCTTCCGGTGGCTTCTGCAGCCCTGGACTGCCGGTGACATCACCCCTGTCTCTGCATCTATCTTCGTAGGCTCTTCTTTTTATGCTTCTCCCTTTTCCTGCCTCTCAGGAGCATATTCATCTTCAGAGTCAGGACTCAGTCCCATCTTTGACTTCATTACATCTGCAATGGCCAACCCTTGTTCTAACTGGGATTGGATTCTAGCCTTCTGGGTGACGTGTCTTGTGGGAGGCCACATTCAACCCACTGACCTGTTTTCTTAAGTTCATCCAACAAGGGTGTTTGGCACGTGCCCTTAAGGACTCCATCTTTGCCCTTCCCTTGAAGCTGGTCTGAGAGCAAGACAGACAATGCAGGTCCCAGCTGCATGCCAGGGGAGATGCTGAAGGCTCACACCCATGCTCTCTGGAGCTGTCGGGCTGTTGATTCTTTAATAAACACTTGGGAGGAGACCTGTCAGAGCAGGGACAGTTCTCTGGGCACCTCGGCATGGGGCCCCTCCAGATCAAAGAGGCACAGAGTGCTTGGCTAGCACCTCTGTGGATGTCATTATGCCACAGCAGCCTTTCCTGCCTGGACTTCAAGCAGCAAACAGGACTGCCACTCCAGAAACTTCCCTCCACATAGGGGTGCAGCCCTCGTAAAGTGGCTTGCTCGGGTGTTTTGTCTGTGTGCCTGTGCATGTGTTGGCCCACGCATGGACCCGTGGAGGTCACAGGTTGTCTGTGTGCGTGTGCACGTGTTGGCCTATGCATGCACCCATGGAGGTCACAGGTTGACTTCAAGTGTCTTCAAGTGACTTTGTATCTTACTTATTTGTTTATTTATTTATTGGACAGAGTCTCTCACTGAACTAGCCTAGACTCTAACAATTGCAGAAGGGGCAGCCATGGCTGAGGAAGCTGGCTTGGGGAGCCCCTTCCTGCCCAGCTCACCCCGTCTGCCGTGTCTCTGCTCCCCCGCCTGTCCCTGACCCCTGCCCTGTTTTTCTTTCCACAGGACCACATCCCTGTCCCTTACCAGCCAGACTCCAGCAGCAACCCCTCATCCACGACGTCCTCCACGCCCTCCTCACCAGCACCCCCCCTCCCCCCCAGCGCCACGCCGCCTTCTCCCTTGCACCCTTCCCCACAGTGCACAAGACAGAAAAAGAACTTCAACCTGCCAGGTACCTCTATGCTGGGGCTACAGCGGATACTGGGGGGGGGGGGGTGGGGACGAGATGAGGGAGGGCGTTGGGTCACTGCCAAAGTCAACCAGCATGGGACCAGTGATCAGAGAGAGTCAAGGAGGTGCTTACCATACACGGAGCAATTGTCCTGTCATACCACATTTCCGCTTCAGAGGAAATGTGAAGTAAGAGTCATCGACTCTACTTGACAAATGAGGAAACTAAGGCACAGGGACTCTTAGAGATGTGTCTTTTGTTTAGCAACAAAGCTGATGTCTTTACCTAGCTAAGTCACAAGTTAGAGTTGGCAGATATCTGGTGAGAATCATTGGTTGAGATGGTGACAGGTTGCTGTACTGAGGCTCCCATGGACACACGCCTGAGCAGGGTCACTTCACAAGTCCCAGCCCAGGTGCCAGACATGGCTCAGAATGAACAGTGTTGAGGTCCTGGATTTCCTTCCCTCACTGTGTGACCTGATTCTGTCACCGCGGTCTGCAGGAGAATGAACCACTTGAGAGACACTGTTAACTCCTCATCCTTCCTTGTCATTAGACCCGAGAAGGGATCTTTCTTTCTCTGTCTTCAAGTGGACCATGCCTAAAAGTCTTGCTGCCTCTGCCCGGCCCAACCAAGTCTATACATAGGTCTCAGGAAGGCTGGGCCAGCCAGGTCTCCATCGTGACTCTTCCTGGGCAAGGGTTGTCAAGGTGGCTCAGTGCGGGAAGACTCCTGCTGTAGGACCACAAGGACCTAAGTCCAATTCCCAGAATTCATGTTTCTTTTGTTGTTGTTCTTTTGTTATTTTAAAAGCCTGGTCTAATGAAACATGTGTAGAGACCCAGCATTGGGGAACTGAAGGCAGATGGGTCTTGTGGGCTCAGTGGCAGCTGGCCCAGGTAAAGTGACACATTCTATCTCATAAAATAAGGTAGATGGAACCTGAGGAACACCTAAGGATGGCTTCTGGCTTCCGCATGTGCGTGCGTGCACACACACACACACACACACACACACACACACACACACACACAGTACTATTGGATTCACTTTCTGAGGAAGTTAGTTTGTCAGTTGAGATTTTAAATGGAATGAGCAGTGTCCCATCTAGCAATTTCTGTTCAGACGCTCATACGAGGACACCAGGAGGCGTGTGTGCAAGGGCATTAGTTACTGCAACAGTGAAGAACTGGAATCATGTCATGTGCTCATCAAGAGAAGGGCTGAACGCAGGGGAACGAAGCTTTGCTGCCATTTGAAGGGACTCAGTACTCTGCAGAGATTTCCCAGAATACAAGGATACTCACCGTGGGTTTCAGGTGGAAGGAATAACTGATTTGCAAAATAATTGGTATATTATCCTTCTGTTTCTTGTGAACTGTTTTCGTGGGTTTATGCGTGGCATGTGTAAAATCTGCCAGGACCTCTTGGCTGTTGGTAATTAGCAGGCAGGTTTCAATGTCTTTGTTTGTGGGGCTGGGACCTTGTGTGTGAGGTGAGCATTGCATGACCGTGTCATGCCCTTGCCCATGTGTGTAGTTCATAAGGAAAACACAAGAGTGGTTCCTCCCCGAGTGGTTGCGCCGTTTGACACCGCTAGCACATAAACACTCGGGAATTTCCTTTTGAGACAAGCTCTCGCTGTCCTGCCTCTCTGCCTCTGGAGTGTGCTTCCGCGCCTGGCTAGCAGAGGGCTCTCCGCTCCCCCACCCCCTTTTTGTCATGTGTGGAATGGGGGAGTGGGTGTGAGTGAGTGATTGTGAACTATGGGCTGTGATGCTGAAGTGGGAAACAAAGCTTGGTGTCCCAGAACCCAGGCAGAAGCTCCCAGGGTGTCAGGCTCCTGGCTCCCTGTCACACTTTTGATTCTGAGCCCCTAAAGAGGAGGAGTGGAGCCTGGAGCGTGGCTGGTGGCAATGTTGAGTTCTTAAGACTATGTAAACTAACGCTTGGATGTAACTGTATCGCTAGAATTGATTAATCTAGAACATTCAGGGGTGTCCGAAAGGAGCTGTGAGGTTAATAGCCAACTTAACTTCCCTGGTTACCTCAGAGCACATGGGGAATAAGATGTTAGCAAACCGAGTGTGACATGTGCTGACTGGGCGCTGGTGACATTTGGCCCCCTGGACTGACCACTGTTTTCCATCCTTTCCTGAGCCTTCCTGCCCTGTGGAAAAACCCAGTGTAGGTCAGTGGGGAGCAGCTCTGAGCACGGATGAATCTGATTTTAGACCCCAGCTTTGGTTTGAGTGGCTTTGATGTCCCCATGGCAAGTGGCATGAAGGGACTTCTGGGTGGAACCTCCAGATATCTTTTTTTTTTGGAACCATCCTAGCACACAACACAGAGAACACACACACACTCATGTACTTACATGCACACACACACACTCACATGTGCATACATACTCATGCATTTACACAATACACACATGCACTTACACACTTGCTCACACACACACATACTCATGCACTTACACACATGCTCATATACACATACACTCATGCACTTACACACTTGCTCACACACATACATACACTCATGCACTTACACACTTGCTCATATACACATACTCATGCACTTGCACACATGCTCATACATACATACACACACGCAATCCACTGCAGGGAACAAAAGATTCTGGTGTCTTAAAATTAAAGAAACAGAGTAGAGTCTGCCTTTGGTGGACACAGCGAGATTTCTTTTAATTTCCTTTTTAGTTTCCTATGTATATACAATGGATGGTGGTATAGTCACCCCATTCCGCTCTAGTATCCCCACCTTTTCCTTCTGAGTCATTTCTTCCCATCTTGTCCTCTAGTACTTAGACCAACCGAGAAAGTGGCATCCCCTTCTCCAGCTAACACCCACAGGCAGCAGGTTCTCAGGAAAAGAGGGGCCTCGTGGGCACCTCCTCTGTCTGTGGGAAAAGTTGAGGTCCAGTCTTGTGCAAGTGTCCACTGCTGCTGTGTGTTCATGGTTGCCATGGCAACATTGTATCTGGATGGCAACGTATCATCAAGCTCTTCTTCACCCTCTGGCTTTTTAGTTCTTTCTGCCCTTTCTTCTGTATTGTTCTATGGTGTGTGTGTGTGTGTGTGTGTGTGTGTGTGTGTGTGTGTATGTGTGTGTGTTATATGTGATGTAGGTGTGGTGTATGTGAGTATGGTGTTTGTGTACATGTGTGATGTATATAGGGTATGTGCGGTGTGTGTGTAGTAGTGTATATATTGTGTGTGTATGGTGTATTTGTATGTGCACATGTGTGGTGTATGTGCATATGTGTGGTGTGTGCGCGTGTGTGTGAGTATATGGTATGTGTTCATGTGTGTGTGGTGTGTGTGCATGAGCATGTAGCATATGTGCGTGTGTATGTGGTAAGTATGGTGTATGTATGTAGTATATATGCATAGGTACATGGTACCTATGTGTGGGTATATGGTGTGTGTGTACACATGTGTATGTGTGTGTGTGTGTACACATGGCACAGGTTATATGGATGTCCCACACTCACCTGTCATTTACTGTCAGCATGTTGGCCAGATCTGAGTCTCCGCAGTAACCATGATGTCACCCTCCGAGAGCCAGTAGGATTTCTAAGTTTCCACTTGGTCTTGGGCAATACCTCCTCTCTTCTGAACCCTGCTCCACTTTGCTATGTGATCATGGGGATTTATTTATTAACTTGTTCACTGTCTGTCCCCTCCAACCATATGCCAACACCTTAAGAACAGGAAACCTGACTGAATACTAATATCTGTGGAATAGCACGGTGTTCGATGAATGCATAAAATAATGGATTAACGCCTCAAATCCTCAACACTTCTCAGGATTCTAGTTTTTCTTCTTCAGAATTGTCTTCTTGACCTTCAGAGGGCATCAGGCGACACCCGTTGAGCATCTTCTGTGTGTCAGAGACTTAATGTAAGACCATGAACACAGCTTGACATGGCTCTGTAGTATTAGAGTCCTACTGCCATTGTGACAAATGACCCCAAACTCAACTGCTTCAAACAGCGTAAAGACGTGGACCATTCCTGAGGTTAGAAGTCCAGAGCAGGTTTGACAGGGGAGAAAGCTCCTTGTGATCCCAGGTTACCCCAGAGGCTATGGCGAAGGAGCTGTTTTCTTGCTTTCTTCAGCTCCAGTGTTTACAGCTTCGTTATTCAACCTGGGTCACTATCGTCCCCTATGTACGGGCTGCTCACGAGCTAGAGCCATCAGAGAGGAAGGAGCCTCAGTCGAGGAAATGCCTCCCTGGGATCCATCTGTCAGGCATTTTCTCAATTAGTGATCAATGGGCTCCATCCCTGGGCTGGTGGTCCTGGGTTCTATAAGAAAGCAGGGTGAGCAAGCCATGAGGAGCAAGTCAGTGAGCAGCACCCTCCATGGCCTCTGATTTCCCTCTTATAGTGACCTTTATAATCACATTAGATTCATTCACGTAGTCCAAGAGAGCTCCTGTCTCAAGAGTCCATATAAACCTATCTGTAAAGTCCCTTTGCTGGATCAGGCCATGGAGCCACATGTCTCCAAGATTAGGACATGAGTTAACATTTTTTTATAAAGCAAACACCAAGTTCTTGCTATGCACTCCAGGCCAGCCTTGAACACGTGGTCCTCCTGTTTCTTGTTAAGAACTTGACCGTCATCCTACCTTTAATGAAGGTTAAGAGTCCCCCACTGTAGTCAGAGCCTGGGGGCAGAGTGGCGAGATCATTTGCGCCCTCTGAGATGTGGTAGTTTCTCGTTTTATAATCTTAACCTTTTGTTGACCAAAGGATTGTGTGTGAGATTGTACGGAACTGTGGAACCAACAAGGCTTCTGAACTTGTGAGCTGTCCCTTTTTTTTTTTTTTTTTTTTTGACAGCTGTACTTTGGTGATCCCTAACAAATTGTTTCCTGGTCTGTACACTTACGTTCCAGAATCAAAATAAACCCACTGGCATTCTGAGGCTACTCCAGACCAGGAAACAGGCTGAGCCAAAAGCTTCTACTCTGAGCCTTCAATAAAAAGCGGTGGTTTAGTCAATCCCCAACAAGTTCCCTGCCTATGTGTGTGGGAACTTGGCGCTCCTGTGACTCTGTCTGGAAGGAGCTTGTTAATCAACTTCAGCCTCAAGGGGAGTGTTTCATTTGCACCCCCAACAAACAGTTTAGCACTTGAAGCTATCTGGCTGTCTCTTGGTTCTAAATCATCCCTGGCTGTTGGTTAACAGAGCCGGGAATTCATTCTTCAGCACTTGCTAATGCATTCATCCCACAGATCCAGGGTTCCTGGAGTCTCATGAATATCACAGTCCAAGGATGCTCATGTCCTTGTGTATCGGGGACCAGCCTCAACAAAAATATCTCTTGCCAGGGGAGGGACATGGGAATTTAGAAATATAAGTAAAGAATACAGAGAGGCATAAAAAATAAGAGAGAAACTGTAAAATAGTGCCGAGAGGGCATTCCAGTGATTACTGAAAGTCACCTGCGGCTATCCTTCTGGAGCTTTTATACCCAATGTAACGAGAAGGGGATGGGGTGGAGACAAGGTGACAAAAGACTTTATTAACATGATACAAAGGACAACTCAGTCAATTGCTCTAACACTCTGACGTTGTAGGAAGGCCACTTGTTGGTCCCTGGCTGCTCAGCTCTGAAATAATCACACAGAAACTATGTTAATTAAATCACTGCTTGGTCCATTAGCTCTAGCTTCTCATCGGCTAACAATTATATCTTAATTTAACCCATCTCCATTAGTCTGTGTACCACCCATCACATGGCTGTGGCTTACCAGATAAAGTTTGGACTGGCATCTGTCTCTGGCAGGAGCTGCATGGCTTCTCTCTGACTCCACCTCCTTTCTCCCAGCATTCAGTTTAGTTTTCCCCGCCTACCTAAGTTCTGCCCTATCAACAGGCCAAGGCAGTTTCTTTATTCACCAATGGTATTCGCTGCATACATGAAATCATTAGCATTCTGTTGTCTAGGTAATGAAGCTGCTCTAGATCACATATCTTGAAGGCCACCTCTCCCCAGGTGACCTCATCCTTCCATAGGCTAAACCATCTCTAGGTAACATGTAGCAGTGATCACTGGGTGAAAGCTGTATAAATAGTTCTCATGTATTGCTTAGGGACTCACCACCAGGAAAATGTATACACATGTGTGGAGGCTACATGTGCATTCCATAGGTGTCCCAAGCTGTCCCCACTCAGGAGCCACTGTACCCTTCTGAGGAGTGGTGGTCCCCGAATCATCTCTCTGTGACTAGTATTGTCCACATTTTGTCTGTAGACACTGAGACATGGAATGGTTTCCTTGGATTTTACAAGGGACATAAGCAGAGCAAATTCTCAACACTACTTGGTCAACTTCTAGACTCCAGGCCCAGACCTGGGTCCTCACAGGGAAGAGTCAAGGGACAGTTGGCTATCCCTATTCCTGAAGGCACTCAAGTTGCTTCTGGTGCCAGATTCTGCAGTAACTTGAATGTAACCCCATCTCTGCTAACCACTGTGCTTATTGAGAGGGTGGGAAAATAAACTGACCTGTTCACACCCTGTGCACTGTACTGCAAAGGACCAGGTGACAAATTAGAAACCTTGACCTTTAGTGCATGGACCAGAGGTAGAGTAAGTTGTCGGAGAGAATCAGCAAGTGAGATTCAGGGATCATCTTTTGAATAATTATTCTTGTTAAACTCAGAAATTAATCCATGATTATGGCAAGTGAGGAAAGGTCTTACTCTCTGAAAGAGCAAGAGAGAAGGGAGAAAGATGTTTACATCCTAATCCACAAGCCTGCACCCGCTGTGACCAAAGGGTTGTAGTTGGGATTATAGTGCAGATTCTGAGGGGCACAGAGTGTCCTGGATTATGCCAAATTCAATCCCTTAAGAGGCAGGCAAGAAGGCCAACAGGAAGTGATGTCAGAACAAAGCAGACTGAGGAGAACTGCTGGGGAGCCAAGAAGTACTAGATTGGACTTTCTGCTGACCATGCTTACTAGAGAAGATAAACCACCTGCCCAAAGGGCTTGGGTTGGAGTCTCCAAGAAGCCCAAACCATATGCCTTGTTCATGGCTCTTTAAGACTCATTTTACTGTTCCAGCCTCCAGACTATAGAACAATGGTTCTGATCCTTCCTAACGCTGTGAACCTTTAGTTAGTTCTTCATGTTGTAATGACCCCCTCAACCACAAAACTATTTTGTTGCTACTTCATAACTTTAGTTTTGCTACTGTTATGAATTGTAGTGTAAATATCTGATATGCGGGGTATCTGATATGTGCCCCCAAGGGATTTGCAACCCACGGGTAGCAACAGGAATCTCTGCTATTAAGGGATCTGTCTCTGCTGTTAAGGGATCTGTTAGTGCTGTTGGGAGTTGCTGTGTTTATTACCATTTTATTATAGTGTAAAGAAAATAATTAGATGCAAAATTTGATGCCAAAAATTTGCCTTAAGGATCTGTAAAGGCGAAGATGATTTTGGATTATAGCTTCCTGGTGGTGGTGGTGGTGGTGGTGGTGGTGGTAGTGATGGTGTGTATGTCACTGCGCCTCTGGAAGGGTGGCTGATTTTCGGGAGTGTGAGATGTCAAGTGGTTGGGACCCACATCTTCCTACTCCCTTATAATCAGGGTGTCTGCTGCAGCGTGGACACTCTGCGGGTGGACAGAGAACGACTCTGCCCTGACAATGGGAATGGGGCTGGGTACCCATAAGACGGCACTCGGGTGGTACTCACGCCGTGTTCTCTGTCTTTTGCAAGCCTCCCACTACTACAAATATAAGCAGCAGTTCATCTTCCCAGGTGAGTGTCCTGGGGGCCAGCCCTCTGAGGAGCAGGGGTTGCTGGGGCTGGTGCAGAGAGGTCAAGAGCAGAGAGGAGACTAGTGGGGTCTCTACACTCCGGGATAACCTCTGGACATGGAAGAGGAGAAGGGTAAGGGTGGGAGATCCCAAGGGCACCAAGGGACCCAAGGATATACCCAGCACGGTGGAAACCGAGAGGGTCAGCAAGTCAAAGGGACCTGAGCTGGACCGAGGTGTGAACTGAGTAGTCTCCTTGATCCAAAGCGGTGCGAGGCGTGAGGAGGATTCAGGGATGGGCAGTGGATGCCTAGGCATCCTGTCTTGCCTTGTCACTGTCACCTTGGCAGTGAGAATGTGTATGCAGCATCTCTAGAATGCTGGTCCATCTCAGTGGGTGAGGCAGGGGGAAAGGAAACTGGCCAACACTGGAATCCATAACACGGGCTAGGGTTGCTGGCTGCTGTGTCTCTTGGGCGGGTGAGGGTCATGGGTTCCATGTTTGATCTCTGTGTATCTGCTCTCTGCCTCTCAGATGTGGTGCCTGTACCGGAGACGCCCACCCGGGCGCCCCAAGTCATCCTGCATCCTGTCACCTCCAACACAATGTAAGTGACTTCCTCCCTTGCCCCAAGCTTCAGTACCTTCAGCCTTCTTGGTTCCTCAAAACGGAAGGAGATGAGCCAGGCACAGAAAGACACGGGACATGACTCAGTAGAGAAAAGAGGGCTGGTACCCCAAGCTGAGAGACCAAAATGATAAGAGACAACATTAGCCCCCGCAAGCCAGCTCTTCCTGTGACCCTGGTCCTCCATGGCAACCACAGTTTCTGGAGGTCACACCGTTACCTCACAGCAACCTCCTCATGGTTCCAGACAGCTGTCTCAGGCAACAGTTAGACTTTAGCTTATACCATGGTCTACCTTTTTAAAAAGTGTCCTTTAAGCTGAGCCTGGTGGCACCTGCCTGCCATTCAAGATGCTTGGGAGGTCAAAGCAAAAGAATTACAAGTTCAAAGCCAATGTGAACAACTTAATAAGACCCGGCATCAAAATCTAAACATCTTAAAAAGGTTCTAGATTCAATTCCTGATCCTGGGGAGGGGGTAGTGGAGTGGGGAGACAGGGTGACAGAAAGAAAAAAAAGATAAAGGAAATATACAGTTTTCACCTGTATATATTTCACAAAATGTGCAGTTTGTTGGGATCAACAAACTCTAGCCTGTCAGACAAACCCCATCTGTCACTTGTTTTTACAAGTAAAGTTTTATTGAAACACCGCCATGCTCGTGTATTGACAGGGCCTTGACTGACTGCCTTCTCAGTACAGTAGGAGGGTGGAGAGGCTGCAAGGAAGCATATGGCTCCCCAAAGTAAAGAAAATTGACTCTCTGGCCCCTTGCAGAAAGTGCCTGCTAGCCTCTGTTATTTATACCACCATGAAATGAGCAGTAAGCTAATTTGGGAGAATTTAGGAGATTCTGTGAACAAGGAAGGGAAGCTTGCCCCTTGGAATTTCATGCTGCTAGAATGTTCTAGCAGCTTTCTCATCCCATTCGTGTATTTGTGATTCAGGACAAAGGCAGTTACAGTCTTTACCATCCTGTTGTCCTTAGCGCACTGACACTGATTTTCCGTGAGGTTCTGGGCTCTTCATAGGCAGTGTCTTCCTGGCTGTAGAATGTCATACCGATGTGGAATTCAGATCTCCCTGCGGTAAACAAGGTGGCTACAAATGCCCTGGTGCACACATCCCCTAAATGACCTATTGCTTAGACAAGCAGGAAGTCACCCTCCTTCGCTTTTGTGCCTGTGCCCAGAGTCGGGCATGCTGGGATGTGTCGCGGTTCAGAATTCTCATTTCTGCCTGCTTGCTTTTCCTTCTTGCCTCCCTAATGGCTCCATCCCACTTGACCTGCATCAGGACTCTGCGAAGCGCCGACATGGTTGGTGCGTCTCTAAAATCAAAGGAGCAGTGTCTCGCCGGCGGGCACTTTGCTGACCTAGATCTCCGGGTCAGTTCTCTGCTGCTCACAACCCAGTGCCTGCTTTGTACAAGATGAACTCCAAGTTATTAGCGATAGTCGGAGTTGCCGTGGCGGCGCAGGGAGCTGCTTATGATCTGCTTAAATGTGCGAGGGGTAATGGACAGGACGGCTGCAGCGGGAAGCCTGGAATAGCCCTGGCAGCTGGAATCCCACCTTCAGACAGAAAGGAGTGGGCTGCCCTACAGTGATTAGGAGAGGAGAGGGGCTCCTGTGTTGTCCTGCTTTCTTCGCCGTCCCCACAGACTCATCCCACTTCCTAAGGCTACACCATAAATAATGAAGCTCACAGTGATTCTCCCTCCTGTTAGCTCAATCTGCAGGGGCCTCAGCTCCCTGAGATCTGAGGGTTGGGATAGGGAGACTCCTCCCACAATAGGGTGGAGGAGGGAGTGGCTAAAGTTCCGTCAGAGAAATATAAAGAGGACACGGTTTTCCTGGCAATGGCTTTGTGCTAGGTCCTCTGAGTTTTGTGTGCAGTCTGTGGCCAAGCAGCTCCCTTCCCACTGCTCTCCCTAGACATACATCCTTAAGTGTCAGAACCATCTCCAAACACCCCTGTAAACACTTAGTGTACCCCACATCCCCATTACAGAACTACGCGTTTGATAGTGCCCTCGCACTGTTAACACACAGCCAGTTAGAGCATCCCTGCTGCCCTCCTAGTGTGTCCACGCAGCTCGAGACCCGCCCTCCCACACACCCCGCCCACGCAACTCGAGACCCGCCCTCCCACACACCCCGTCATCACTTGCATTGCCCGCAGAGACCCATTTCTCCCCAGCACCCACGCTTAGAATACAGCTGCAGCGTTGGAGCTCTGCACACGTGACACACACTCACACCCGTGTCTTCCCACCCAGCAGAGCTCTCGGTTTTCTTCCACGTATGGTGGTTCCATGAGATTGGCCAAGCTACACCCCAACACCATTGTCTGCCGCTCCTCGATTGCTGGGAAGAGACACCATGGCCAAGGCAACTCCTATCAAAGAGAGCGTTGAATCGGGGGCTTCCTTACAGTTTCAGAGGGCTAACTGGTTATCGTCAGGGTGGGAAGCATGGCAGAGGGCATGGCAGGCAGGATGCTGGGAGAGTAGCTGGGAACTACGTCCCAGTCCACAGGTTGGGTGGGGGAGACGGAGGAGACTGGGCTCAGTATGGGTCTTTGAACTCATCCGCAGGGGCACACTTCCTCCAACAAGGCCATCCCTCCTAATCCTTTCAAATAGGACCACAATCTAGCAATTATTTGAGTCCATGGGGGTCACTCTTATTTAGACCACGAGAACCATGAACTTCCAGATGTGCCCAGTGTGTCGGTCTGTCTTCTGGGAATCCCCCCAACACTTCATTTCTTCACTTCACTGGTGGCTGCTGGCCCTTGTGGCTTTCAGCCCCCCCCCCCATCTACAGTGGGTCTTTCCGTCGGACAGGGGCTTCCCCTTCACGCCAGGAGCCATGCTGCCGCCATCTCTAGAGCCTCCTTTGAAAGATGTGCCTGGTGCAGAATTCTAGATGAGTAGGTGAATGAGTTAAAAATGAACAGGCGAACAGACAAATGCGTTGATATTAAATATCCTCGTAAGGATGGTTCAGCAGCTAAGAGCACTTACCCACCTCCTGCAGGGGACCTGAGTTCGGTCCCTAGCACCAGCATCAGGTAGTGTGCTAGCCCTATGTTTGTGGCTTCGATGAACACCGTGACTAAAATCACCTTGTAGAAGGAAGAGTTCCCCATCAGCATACAGCTCTCAGGTCACAGGCTATCCCCGAGGGAAGTCAGGGCAGGAACTCGAGGCAGGGACCTGGAGGCAGGTCATGGAGGCTGGCCATGGAGGCCGGCCATGGAGGGGGTGCTGCTTACTGCCTTGCTCTCCATGGCTTGCTCTGTTTCCTCTCTTACACACCACCCACAGTGGGCTGGGATCTCCCATATCAATCATCAATCAAGAAAATGCCCCACAGACTGGTCAGCAGGCCGATCGGATGGAAGCGTTTCTCAGTTGAGGTTCCTCTCCCCAGATAACTCTAGCTTGGGTCAAGTTTTAGAAACAGACTAACCATCACGGGTGGCTCATAACCCCGTGTGACTCCAGCCTCCAGAGCATCAGCTACCCTCTGGCTTTGGTAGGTAACACAAGCATGTGCGCACGCACGCGCGCACACACACACACACACACACACTGCTAAAAATAAAACTAAATCTTCCTTTAAATAAAGACCCTTATAGGAGACTCTGAGCCTGAAGTTTCGAAGTGTGGTTTATTCTTTCCCGGTGCACATTAGACCTCGGAGGAGTTTCTCACCTGTGATGTTTTTGCCCACCTGAAAAGAGGTTGCTATACTAGTTGAAGCTGAAGCCATAAAGGAAAGTGAGTCCTGAGCAATCCGGGAGAATTTCTTTTAAAATAACGGCCTTGTGGGCTCTTTCTGTACTCCCGGCTGTGCATTGTTTCAGACCGGAGCCTTGGAATGGCACCCGAGTTGAAGGTTTCATGACCAAGGCTTTCCACTTCAGACTCTTGAGCATGGCTCACCTTAAATCCAGAGTTGTAAGGGTCACGGGTGTTTTTTTTTTTCCCCTTCTCTGATTTACAGCTTGGAAGGAAATCCATTACTTCAGATTGAAGTGGAACCAACCTCAGAGGTGAGAATTGGAGACCGGAGAGGTGGCTTTGGCTCGAGGTGGGCAAAACTGCCTGGTGTCGTCGGTGACGCAGAGGGACCGGGGTAGGGAGGTGGGGCCCCGTGGCTGTCTGATGGATGTTCTCACTCTAGACAGTTAAGAAGCTGCGGCTCCCCCCAGGCACTGTGCCTAATGGGCCGTTCGCCTGTGTTCATCCTGGCAGAGACAGTTGGATAGAAATTGGCCTGTGATTTGCATTTTCAGGTTAAAAAAAAATTAGCTCAGGACTGGGGGAAACTGGAAGGGGAGGTGCCCCACTGCCTTTGAGATAACATACACTAGCAGGTGGGAGCCCCAAGGATGCTGGGTTGGCAGCGCAGTGAGGAGGTTCTGGGCTTCCTTCCTTCTGGGCTAAGGGAGTAAAGAAATGTCCTGAGGAACAGCCGTTGGGTCTGCTGTCTCGACCCTACTGTATGCCCTGAGCTAAAAAGGCCAGCAGCAGGGCTCTGGGAAAGAGGCCCACATCCCATTCCGAGACAGGAGCAGTCTCCTAGAACTGACCCTGAGAGCTGACATTCCATCTCGCTTCCCCTCAGTGTTGTGGATAGCGAGCTCATAAACACAGGGTTCAGCAAAGAGGTCCCTTTCTGGGGTCATCTCACCAGGGTCTCTAGGGCTTCCCATGGGGTCTGGCATCTGCTCTTCCCCCATGTTATAAAAGAGTCCAGTAGGTGAGACACCCCCCGAGCCTAGATCTCCCCAATCCCTGTGCATTCTCCCTTGATTGGTCACCAATGACCTCATGAGTCATGTAGTTAAAACGTAGGTCTCCCTGCAGGCCTGCTGATGTTTTAAGTCAGTAGATCTAGGTGGATGGGGCCCTAGAATCTGCATTTTCTCCAGCATCCCAACACATGTTCCATGTAGGAGGTGGCAGAACTTCAGAACTCATCATCTCATAAAACTTTCTGCTACTGCCTGGAGAAAATTCTTATCTTTCTTCCACTTTAGAGGGAGATACGGAAAGCTCAGAGAGGTGGACCAATTTTCCCGGGGTCACACAGGCCAGAGATCATCTCACTGGGTCTGAGTGTTCAGCACACGGTCTCAGCCCTCTGCTCTGGGCTCTCCCAGCCCGCTGGTCTTAAAAGGGCCAAGTCTGCCAATCTTCGAATCGATTGTGAATTTCCTGGAGGAGGCTGACAGACGGCCCATGGTGATGGTTGTCCCGTGCCACATTGAAGAGACACACAGCACATCCATCGTTTAGCCTGCTGTTCCTCTCGTACACATACTGTCAAACTAGTCAAAACCAGCATGGCAGGAATGGCATGGGCTAGCAGGGATCCAGAAACCTGAATCTAAGCTGTCCCTCTGCTTGGTTGTGATCCAGAGTGAGGGCGTGAAGACCTCCCAGGGTGACCAGTTTGCCCAGGATTGACAGGTGTCCCGGACGGGTCACCTTTCAATGTGAAAACTGATACCTTTCAATGTAAAAAGTCCATTCAGACTAGAATAGCTGGTCCATTGGTATTTCTCCTCTCTCAGCACGAGGCAGTGGGACCACCTTGACTCCGCTTTAAGTCCCTTATGGTTTGACTCGAATTCAAAGATACCCGGGAAACAGCTGTCTACATACAGAACTATGACGCGTGTCCCGACCTCCACAGCATGCTGGTACCCAGCAGGCCCCTAGGGAGGGTGGAGCTGGGGTGGCCATAGCTTTGACCTCTCTCCTCTCTGGCCGCAGAACGAAGAGGGCCACGATGAGGCCGAGGAGTCTGAGGATGATTTTGAGGAGATGAACCTGTCCCTCCTCTCAGCCCGGAGCTTCCCACGCAAGGCCAGCCAGACCAGCATCTTCCTTCAGGAGTGGGACATCCCCTTTGAGCAGCTAGAGATTGGCGAGCTCATCGGGAAGGGCCGCTTCGGGCAAGTGTACCACGGACGCTGGCACGGTGAGGTGGCCATCCGGTTGATTGACATCGAGAGGGACAATGAGGACCAGCTGAAGGCCTTCAAGCGGGAAGTGATGGCCTACAGGCAGACGAGGCACGAGAATGTGGTGCTCTTCATGGGAGCCTGCATGAGCCCGCCCCACTTGGCCATCATCACCAGGTCAGTCCCGTCGGCTCTCACTGGGGCTTCTCGGGGCTTTATCAGTGTCTGGAAAGATGTACGGCACTGGCAACCAGAAAAGCCACTTCTGTCTCTGCTCTGCATGGGCGGCTCTCCGACTCTTGTCTCTCCTTATGTAATATGAGCGTCTTGCTTTCCACTTAGGTCAGCCAGCGTGTGTCGCAGACTGCTGTGAGGCATGCGATCAGCCTCGCAGGCTGCCGTTTCTGTCCTAGCAAGACGGTCCTGCCACCGTCACACAAAAACAAGCATCCATATGTGGATGGACTTGCGTGGCAGCGCTGCCATAAGACTTGCAGAAACCCAAGTGGCAGGCCAGATCTGCCCCATAGTCTGGTCTGAGATGCTGATGACTGTGATTGTGGCTCTCGATGGTTCGCAGAATGTTTGTGGAGCCGTTGCCACCGCTGTTCTGAGTGTCCAAGCTTTAAAAATCTCACCATGAGCTAGTCACCTAGCGTGAAAGGTGCCGGAGAAGGGCGGCAGGCTCAGCAGAGGTGGTGTCTGTTCATTCTGTTTACTGGGCCTTGGCAGCAGGAGAATTGTCAGGTATCTGACGGTGGGGACAACTGGGGCTTCTGTGTCGAATGACAAAAGCCTGCGAAGCCTGGGGATGGTGGTAGAGGCCTCTGCCTCTCCTTAAACCAGTGTAAACGCAGGGGCTCTCATGTCTCCCTACGACAGAAGTGCTTCTCAAGCCATCATTTTGGGGAGCAGGCTACAAACTCTTGGTAGAGTAAAGGACCAACTCTGTAGCTCAGTGCCTTCCCTCCATCCTGGCGATAGTTCTGGATTGAGTCCCGTTCTGTGGCCTGACTCAGCTGGTAGCAATGAAGGATCTGGTCGGTGTGGGGGGTGGGGAGCCCCTATCTTTACCTGTCTGCTAGTCGGTGGGTACCCTGGCAGCTGGGGTATCTCAGTTGTGCTTCACATGACTTCCAGGACTTTCCCACGTGGCCTCTGTTTCCCAAGTACAACGAGGGGTCAAAGGTTAGATGCACAGGTGTTTTGCATGCCTCCACTGGGTGCCATCCATTGGCTGGAGCATCTCCTGCGGTCAACTGGATTCAAGTTAGGGAGAAAGACTTGGTCTCTGAATGGCAGCCTCTGCAGGGAGAGGATCATAGATGGCTGTTTTCATAGCCCTCTTCAGCGACCCCTCTTCAGCGACCCCTCTGCGCTCTGAGCGTCTCTCTCATTGGGAAGCAACTTCTCTCTCCCAGAAGTTAGGAGCCCCTCCCTTGAGATCTACAAGTCTGGTGACCCATGGATCTCAGGAACCCATTCCTCCTGCCCTCCCCTCCCGAAGAGTGGCTCATGAACCTGTACAGACCCAACTAGCAGCTCTGGAAAATGAGGGGCCGTTATGAAGAGGTCCTGCTCATCTCTGAAGCCCAGCTGCTCTGCAGCCTTCTGTTCTGTGACAGAACTCTGGGTGCCCACCCTGCATGCCATAACCACCCATAGATTTCACAAAGCACCCAGCCTTTTCTGGGCACCACGATTAAATATAATAATAATAATAATAAAATGCCTGGCGGCTTTGGGACATATAATTGGTCTCTGAAGTGTCTGGTATTTTGTGTGAGGATACCAGATGAGCCCTGAAGAAGTAGTGTCTATTCCCCGATTATTCCGTTGTTACATGCTTATCACGGGGAGAGTCCGTCTGGCCCCCATTTAGTTCCATCTACTTACTGCCCTTTAAGAGAACCTATCTGAACGTTCTATTCGCACCCAGATACCTGAGTAATTCGATTAATCATTTGCATCCGCCCGATTGATTGTTGGAAGCTAGCCAACCGACTAGAATAATTTGGGGGACCTTGGTTTTATTTTTACAGGGAGCATACGACCAGATAATTGCCTGGCATAATCTAGAGAAATCCACAATGGTGTGTTCTAGCCAATTACTTAGTAATTATCATCAGAGCTAACAAGTATTTCAGAGCTTGGTTTCCTTGTAAAGCCATATGCTTGGCTCTCGGGAGATGGATGTTAACTAACCAGCTATCCAGTCACTATAGCCGCAAACAATTCCAATCTGGACGGCGAGATTATTTCATGATTGGGTCATTATGAAATTACTGCCAAGCGATCGGCAGCCTGCACAATTGTTCATGCTGAAAACTCCAAATGGCATCAAAGGGCCAAGACTGAAAGGTTTGATTGACAGTGCCCTCATCCTTCAGCCCAGCTGCAGGGTTCCCCGAGCCTCAGTTTCTACATCTGTGAGATGAGTGGGCTGAAGCAGGTGTTTGTCCTAACTCTGACAGAATACTTGGGATCTCTGGAAATGGGTTCTTTGTGATGCACCAGCCAACAACCTCGGATCAGCGGCTTCCCGGAGTGGTCTGTCTGGGCCTCACAGCCCCACTGAGGAAGCAAGGCCGCTCCGGTGGAGACCCTCTATACGCCGTTCTGTTCTGTTCCTAACAAGTCACCCTGACTCTGTGGCATCAGGCAGCACACCCTGGCCCCCACAGTTACAAAGGCTTGGGTGACTCTCACAGCACTGACATGGCAGCGTGATCTGGAAGACCGGACCCAGCTTTTTGCCTATTCTACCATGACTTCTAGCTTCTTCCACCATCTTAAGGTCAGCAGCCACAGGGCATCTTGTTTCCATGGTTATGGTCAGACCTCCTTTGGCTTCCCATGCGATGGGACAGTTCCACCTAAGGCCCACCCAGATCACCTAGAACTACCTGTAAAGTCCCCTTTTGCTGTCTGCAGGCACTCTGGGGGCCATTCTTATACCAAGTAACATTGAGCTAAGATTGAGGAGGCAGTCAACACGAGGAGGCGTAGCCCAGGTGGGGGTCCAGCAGGTGCAAAGGTCCTGAGGCAGGAAGTAGGGATTGATGGAGGAGGGAGAGAGCTAGGAAGAGTGTTACAAGATGCTGGGTGACTACGGGGTCTCAAAGGCTCTGGACAAGAGCACAGAGTTGGAGGAACTACAGTGGCAGTGTTCTCTGCTCTGGGAACTCCTACGGGCCTGAGCACGGTCTCTCCTTGCTCTCAGCCGGTCGATTCAATGTGTCTAAACTCGCCATTGTGGAGCCTTGGTGGTCAGAGAGGAAAGAGCAGCTCAAGTACCATCTTGGATTCTGATTTGACACAAAGTGGGAAAATGACCCAGGGCTCCTTTGTCCAGATCACTGGGACACCTTGCAGGCAGGTGGAAGTGGGGTGCTGCTGTTGGAAAACAGGAAATCACAGATGGAAAGAATCAGCATGTGTGCCCTTGGGAGGGAGTTTTTAAATGTCTCATTTGGCGCATGCCATCAGTCCCATCCCCAGCTTCCGGAGTCCTGACACGGCTTCTCAGTCAGTCCTGTGAGGATGACTTGGGACCAGGTAGCAATGAAATCCCAGGGGCCTCATTTGCTGCATTTTTAAATCTAATACGCAGCAGAGCCTCATCCGCAGATTATTTATGTCCAACCCCAAATCTGCTCTGTTTCTCAGGCTTTCAAATCTAGTCACGCCACATTGCCAAGTCTGACAGACAGACAAACAGTGCCACGACCTCCCGCAGCCTCTCGTGGGGACAGTTCTCTTGTGCTTGGATGAGATTTCATCTTGAATTTTTTTCCCTCTGTAACTTGGGGGCTTGTGTCTTTCGAGTTTGTTTTCTTTCTTCAGACCAGTTTGATTGTCCTAAATATAACATGCAAGAATTGGGGGCCTGAGCCATGAAGATTTTACCCCCACCACCACCACACACATCATCCAGTGGCGTTGGCTTCCTTTAGTGCTTAGGAAGGCTGAATCGCTTTCCTTTTATGAATCTCAGATGAAAGGATTTTTTGTCTGCGGCTGCCTTTAATTGTGTGCTGCTCAGGACTTTTGTGAAGGAAGTCGCTATAAATGTCCGTCGTCATTAGCACCATTAGAGCAGCATCCTCTTGTGTGTGTTTGCATGTGCCTGGCTGTAAACAGTCACGTGACCAGCTGAGGCCTCTGCCTGGCTGAGGATCTTGCTGCTTTCTGGTCACCGCTCCCTTACATCTCCAAGATGCTGAATTCGAGTGTGTGACAGCTGTCTTCACTTCAGAAATCTTCCTGTCTAGGAGATAGCTCGTTGGTTGTTGAAAATACAGACCAGATGAAGAACAACGCCTCACATAATACAGCCAGGCAGAGTTGACTACATGTGTGATGTGGGGGGGTGGGGAGGGACTCTTTATCAAAATAGCTACAAAATCATACTTTTATATTGGCCAGAGTCATGAGAGCTGCTCAAAGAAGTAAGACTTAAAACAGAAAATGCTCAGGGGCAGGGGGAAGAGAAGGACTTGCCACATAGTGGGAATCCCTGAGCATGAGCTGCCGAATCCGTGTGAAATTGCCAGATGTGCAGGTAATCCAAGCACTGGGGAGGCAGAGATGGGAGGATCCCCAGGGCCACTGGCCAAGCAGTCTAAACTAAGTTGTAGTAAGCTCCAGGCCGGTGAAAGACCCTGTCTCAAAGGATGTAGAAGGCCTTCCTGGGGACAATTCCTGAAGTTGAATTCTGGCTTACACACACACACACGCACACGCACACGCACATGTGCATGCACGCACACATGCACACACAAAACCCACAACAAACAGAACAATGAAGTGGCTCAATATGAATTTCTAGCAGAGCTTATAAGAGTACCAAGAATGCCACCTGGGAGTTTGAGATATAAAAATGATCCAGATGCCTTTTTTCCTATATGTGGACAGATGACACATACCCTTCCACTTTTGGTCTATCATACTCTAGGGGTCAGAGGTCTCTTTATTTAGCTGAGGGGAAAGAAAACAATCACAAAGGGGTCACATTGGGGGTTTCCATAGGCCTCCAAGCACCCCATATCCCTCCATGCATGTGCCATTGGCTCATACTGAACCCCTTAGCTATATCCAGTGGCAAGAGAGGCTCAGAGATAGCTGTGCCCCCAGGGGAAACACAGGGGAAATGGGTCTAATGAATGACGGGTTCA